GGAACTTTGTATTAAATTTTCAAGTATTTTGTTAGGGCCAAAAAATTTTTATCGACACTTCAAAAAAAAWTTTTCAGACAAATTGAAAATTTCAGTGGTCTATAAATATCTCAAAAAAATTATTGCGCTATTGTCAGCCTTCTGCATATCCTGAAAAAGAGGCCTGCGCACGCCTATGAATTAACTATTACAATTAGAATTTAAAGTACCTACGCTCTGGACAATTTAAGTACCCAGTACTACCCACGAATAATATTTTTAAATTACAACAATATAACTAAAATTGTTATTATTGGTTATTGAATATGTAATTTCATCCTAATTTGTACTTAAAATAACTATAAAAGAAAAAAATTATGTTTATATTGTTTTTAAATTTGTTTTGTCACAAAATTAACTACTTAAGTGGAATCTTTTTATCCTTAGGTATAAAAGTGAAAAGTTTTAAAAAGTTTCAATTCCTAAATAATTTGTATATTTTGTCAAAATTTGAACTTAAAATAGTTAAAACAAAAAAACGTGCCTATGCATTTTTTATGTTTTCCAACTATTATTATATAAACTTATGAGGAACCTTGGATTAAATTTTCACGCTTGATTCAACAAATACAATTTGATTTACATTCATAAAATTAAAGCTAAAACAACTTTAAATGTCTATAAGTAACTTAAAAATTGTTGAAATATTTTGATAATAACCACACAACCAAACCGATTTTGAGTATAAATGCCAGTTTTTTCTTATTTTTGTTTTGTTTTTCCCAGCACTTTTGATAACTACTGGGAATTTTGACCGGAAATGGMAATCTGGTTGGAGTATTTCTCCAATACACCAACCAGATTCACTTWCCAACCGGAAAAGCTACTAAAGTTGAAAATCGAAGTGTTATTTCGACAACTTATTGTGGACACAGACACTAAAAATAATAAATAATAAAAAAAACACACATCATTGTAAAATCAAAACATTCATCACTGTGCTCAGAATCTAAAATTTGTTATAAGCCAAAATTATTAAAAATTATTATTTTTAACAACTAAATAATCGATCAATTTTCAATTTTCCTGGTGCTTTCAAAATTTGACTTTCTCAAGKCACTAACTAKATTCACTTTCCAATCGGAGAATCTACTAAATTTGAAAATCAAAGTATTATRTTGAAAACTTATCGTTTATACATACTCACTGACTTCATCAGAGCACAATTTTT